CGTAGCGCTCAAAAGTAAATCTGAAACCATCAAAAGGAATGAGAATTGTCTTTCTGGTGTTAAAAGTATGTTATTCTCTCATGAATAAATAGAAGTATTAACGATTTATAGTTATGTGGAAATACTAACGGGCTGGCCAATTCTTTCTTCTCAATTAAGAACGTATTAGGTGATACAGCGAAGCAAGTCAAATGATGACTTTGTTTGATGTGCTCAGCCAAGAAGAATGTGAGAAATATACACCAGGAAAGAAAGAAATATGCAATTACAATTTTCCCTGCATCAGATGAGTAGTTTTAAACTTGCATTACAACACACAACTAAGAGAAGTGGAAATATCCGTAAGAATTTATACAACTTAAAAATTTACAAGTAAAAACAAAACTTCATGCATATTCTAAAACAATATTACAGACAAAATTCAGCAATATTTTAGATGAGTAAAAAGTAACTTAAACCAGATGAAGACAAAATCGATTTGGCCGTGAAAGGAAAACATTGTTGATATTCACCCGGAAAGAACTATCTAGGTATGGTAAAAATTTGTATGTGCAATGTGCAATCCTTATGAAGTGTGAAAGTGGAAGAAATTAGTACGTCGTAGCTAATCAACACGAGCAGAAGACACTGAGAATGTCCAGCTATTCCAGAAAAAGTCTCTCAAGATAGTCACTCCAGATCTGACAAACTTGGGGCTTTTTTCAGTAAGAAAGGAAGCACTGATATGTATTCACATCTTCAGATGCGTTCTCAGTGGTCATTGGAGCAGAGTGCCACTCATGAGGTATGGCTGAAGAACACACAGTTCGATGGGAAACTACACCACATTGATCAAACAAAGCCCTCCTCCCCAATGCAGCTGTGCCGGTGATGTCTTGTAGTTGATTCTAAGAAAAAGTAAAAACTCTGGAACGGAATTCTCTTATAAGTCACCTAGAAAACTGTAGGACAGGCAGTTCTATCCTTGTAGATGATTATATGAATGCTAGAGATCCACGTAGTCCTGATATTCTTATTTCTTCTTGGGCTCCCATATCATTATGCAAAAATTCGCTAATTTTTTATAATCAGAAAACGCATGTTTGTAATGTTCTCATCATGCGATGATTTTCTTTCATTTTTAGTCCAAAGGGGCAATTTGCCCAGAAGGACTACTAATTTCGTTTTGGTATTTTGCATTGGTTCACTATAAATGTCGGTTCACTTTTGATATTGTTGCCACCAAATATTAGAGTCCTGTGTTATATTTAAAGAAATTAAATAATAAAGAATCTGCATAAATATATGTACGTTTCTCGCATTGTGATAAAACAACGTTACCTAGAGTCATCAAATTTTGAATAACGTTCCTTTTCCACCCGAATATGGGTATCTGGAAGCCCAAATTTGGAATTTGGAATTTGTTTTATTATCTATTTAATATTTTGCAAAACTTTAACGACCTTTTGATTAACAAACTCAACGATTTCAAAGAGAGCAATGGCAACACTGTACGAAAAAAAAATTTTTTTTCTCCAGAGACTGTATATCGGAAATTCTAAAGATATGCTCATTTTAAAATCATTTTGCGACATTGCTGTTGACTGCTCTTAAATTTGATAATGGTTTAAGTGCGAAGAACATGATATTTAATAAATAAAGGTAATACACAAACCGTTGAAAAAACACCGTTTTGGGCTTAATGTAAAATCTGAAAGCTTTCAGATTTTTTTTTCATTTTTTATCATTATATTTTGTGCGAGAATGGTTTAAAACTATGAAGTTGTGGCAGAGATTTATTTTCCAGCACGTTGTTTCAGAATTGCGATTTTTCTTCCTTGATTTCATTTCTCCCACAATTTTTTTTTGTATGACGGCGTTTTTCCTTTGCGCTGTGTTCTCCACAATGTTTTCACATGCGATGCTTTATCCTAGAATTTTCGGCAGACGCCGTTTTAAGGAGGTACACGCAGAAAATATAATAAATGTTTGTTACTCATTCTGTAAAAATCAGATTTTAAGCTAAGATTTAATTCAGGGACGTATCTTTATGCAATGAGGTTCTATTATTCTTTGAGTTATTGAACCCGGAGACTTTAGAGACTTTAAGTGACTTTACTGGTATTTGAACGAGTGTTCACATTGTAGCAAAAGCATCATAGTTGTCGAAGCCCTAATGCCCTAATGCAATAAAAATGCAATAAGAGAATTTTCCAAGAATGCTTTCCTTCCAGAACTAATTTGAACGGAAAGTTTCTACCCAAAACTTCGGGAATGTTGTAAGTTTAACCACCCGTTTGGCGTGGATATCCGCAATATTTGACAACAGCGGGAAAAATCTGCGGTAGAAATTCTGTTTCGCATAGATCAACTAATCAGAAAGTAGTCTGTATTGCTGTATAATATATTCCTAGTCATTCTTCCTTTATACTTTCGGGGAAGAACGCGGAAAAGTTTCTTCTTGCATTTCTTCCATATGTCTGATAAGGCGATGAATGTCATAGAAACGTTTATACTGATAAAAGTAACTGTGTAACCATTCAGGCCGCATATGTACGTCCTAGAATATTTCTTGTAACGCCTTTAAGTAAGTATAAATACGTGCATCTTTGAAATATATCCAAGAAATTAAGGCAGTATAATAAAAGTATAAAGAACAAGGGAATTGGGATATTATACTGGATAAAATACTTCATTCTATGTCAATTTTGGGAAATTTGGGATTTTGGAGCCGCCAAACCCTTGGTAGGTTGAAGGCTTTTAAAACGAAGCTAGTGTGAAATTAAGCCATTCAGAGAAGGATCAGTACTTGATTTCGTCAAAAGTTTTGGTGAATTCGAACTCCCGCCAAGTTTATTTTATCTACTATATCTGCATTTCTATTTTTAATTTCAGCTGTCATCTGCCAGAAATAAATTGTGCATTGTTACTTCTGCAAAATATTAGATCATTCCAAATTTTTGGCACGCACATACAGAATAAAACTTCAAGAATCATTTAGTTCTTGTGCAAAACGCAGCACGCTTTTTACGTCTAACCTAGATGCCAGACGGAAGTAGAAAATGGTATCAAAATTTGTAACTTGTCAGCTTGCTTTTTTTCTTGCAACAGACTTCGAATTTTGTTGAGAGTTTAGATTGACACTCAACTGACAAAATAAGTTTTGTCCGACACACAAGGTCTCGTTTCCAAGCAACGGAATACTGTTTACGCCACTTGTTACCGTTATGCCTTTATGCTCCATACGGCTGTGTTCAAGTCATAAGAGGAGTAAGCTGAGTTTCTTTGTTAGGCAACCAGATCCAGTTACGACACAAAACTGTTTAAGCATTTTGCCTGAATATTATAACTTTTCAACCTAATGCCGACTTCGTATAAGAAATTATCAATCACAGCGAAATAAATATGAACTTATGAATATAAGTTCCGATAAATCGACGGGTTTATCGATAATCGATAAATCGACGGGGTTCCGATAAATCAGCTGCATATTTACAGTTGCTTAACTTTACCTTTCCTGATTGATGATGGCTTAATCCTTGTTACACAGAAAAAGATTTAATGACTATTACGGCTTAAGCTGCAAAGCCTTCGTTTGAAAGATCCCTTCCGAACTACAGACATGCCAGCGCTATTGAATTTGACTGATATTACGTATAAATTTCGTATTTATTTTATGGGAAGAAAACTCTTATCTAAAACCAGCAATTTTGAAGGGAAAAAGTAATTCTCTAAGCGTTCTAATGAGCACAATTTGCAGCAGTACTCATCTAGAACCCTTTAGCAGAGACCTAAGTAATTAACCACTGCTTACACTTAACTGATGCCATCTTCATGACGCTTTGAAAAAGAATGTCCACATAAAAGTTTTTTTTTTCGTCAAAGAAATGATCCTAGTCTTGATCCTAACTTTTGTGTTCGTAGTATCACTTTTGAAATAAAGGGATATTGCCATCAAATGTTATCACCCTGTATTATTTTTAATGAAAGAATATGGCAAATATTAAAAACAGTTATGGCAACACTTAATATTCTATCGGAATTTCTAAAGATGCGCTACGTTTTAATATTTTGCTATTTTGTGTATGAATGGGACATAAAGTGATTGAAGGTCAAGTTAAAAAGACAAAAAGTTAATATAATGTGGGATGGCATCGTTCATTATAATCAGATGACGCGACAAGCTGTGAGAATAAATCTTTTACTTTTCCGATGAGGAAGCCAGACGATTCCGCCATTAAGACGATGACGCGATTAAAAGATGTTTGAATGTAAAGGCTATTCCTTCTCTTCATCTGTAAATAATCTCATCTATTTCCTTCTACGTATGTAATTACTTTGTAGTTTGTAGCAACTATTCATGTTTCATTAAATATTCAAGATTTACATAAATCGGACTAGTTTATTAGCCCCTAGACAGCCACCTAAGAAGTAAGTTTACAAACATCATATTCTTAGACAGTAAGTACCGATTCTACGATAATAAACATACAAGAGAGGCTGTGTATGTGATCTTACGAAGAAACTTGAATACTGACATGACGAATTGAGAAAACACTGAAAAATATAATAGCAACACTTAACACTGTAACGGAATTCAAAACATACGTTGCTTTTAAAATGTTTTGAATTTTGATGTTAAACTTTATGTACTATAAATGTGAAGAAAGTGATATTTAACAGTAAAGTGTTAGCAGGAGCGATTAGTAAGAGCAGACTGGTAAACTTCGAACTAAGCGAGCACGTAAACAAACCCTTCACAAAACTTGTGGTACGGCTTTAAAATCTGAATTATTTCAAATTTTGTTTCACTTTTCTGTTTTTTTTTTTTTTTTTTTTTTTTTTTTTTTAATGAAAAATAACTGCATACGTTCCAAAATGAACTTTAGTAAAAGCGTTCGTCTTTCGTACACACAGTGCGGTGGAACAGATTTTCCTTTTAGGGAGGTGCTATTTTTCCTAGTTTTCTTTAAACATCATTTTTATTTCTTTTTAACTTAACTAATTGGTTAAAATCTCACCTGAGAATTATTCTTGAATTGGCTGTCGTCGCTCTTTCCGTGCTTCCTTTGATAATCGTGCAGTCCTTCCAGAAGATCGACCACCGGTTCTCCTTCCGCAATATGGAAACGGTCCCTCATGTTCCAAAGATACAGCTTCAACTCTTGCATCAGGAGGCCCACTTCCGTGATCAAATATCCCATTCGTAGGCTTTCAAACTGAAGTAAAAGAGGATAAAAATAAAAGACAGGTTTGAAGACACGAAAAAGAATTTCTTGCATTTAAAATTCGGATGGGTTCAGGACATCTATTTCTTTTCTAAAATTTTACTCCCGAGGAGGCGGATTTTTCTTCGTGTAAAATTTGAATAGGGTTTGAGAGAATTTATCATTTTTTCATTTTAACTGCATTTATTCTAATGGTGTTGTATTCTTGTGCTGTATTTTGCAAGAATGAATTGTTAAAAGTGGAAACACATTACCAACAAGAAAAGGAATGGAGAAACAACATTTTTATCGCAGTCGAGTTAAGTGCGTAATAACTTTAGTGATTTGTTTGAAAAATAAGTTATTATACGAGCTACCTGAAAAGTAGTCTTTATTATGCTTGACGAGAGACGAAAGCTACTGCTTCGAATTACAAAACCCTGATTTTAAAAATACATCCCGACAACAGAAAAGTAATACCTTTTAAAGTTGCATTTGTATCCATCGTGAATGCTATGAAATGCTCTTAAAGATTAAAAGCGGTACTATAAAACTTGGGCTTCTGAATTTTTTGAACGTAAAGTTTTATAATCATTCTTAGATTGAGGACTTCATTCTTCCAGATCCTTTTAAAAAATTGTTGGTGATAAAAGGGCAAATTCAGTTACTTATAGTACAAGTTTGTTTTTCTTCTTACAAGCGTAATTCTTTCACTCTACTAAGACATGAAAATAAAGAATTCATTTTTTATTTCAATTAGGCCTCGAGCTTTCAATATTTTTTTATTAGACGTAATTTGGAATAATGTAATTAACAATTCTTTTTTTTTTTACCCTTTTACTTCACATAAATGTTCTTTGCCTTCTATCAATGACCAAGCATTTAAGTTCATTCGGCATATTAAGATTAGATTGAATAAATGGATTACTATAAATCAATATATAGTTTGTTAGGAAGAGTTCAGATGTGGTAAAACCTCTATTGTCATAATCATAAGTCGTAAAAGGCATTAGTTTCATTCACAGCTGTGGAAACCAGATCTATGCTGTACATACGTGAATATACAGCGAATACAGCGTAATTGTTGAGAGGATGTCAGTTCATATTTATTTTGCTACGACTGACTGGTTCATAAACCAGGTTAGCAAAAAGTCCAACAGTTAGGACATTTAGGTTAAATCTTTGTGTCATTTTCCTTGGTGTATTACGACACCAAGGAAAATGACACAAAGATTGCTTAACAGGTTAACTAGTTGCTTAACAAGTGCAGTTTGGTTAACGTAAATTGAGACAGCTATAGCGTCATCTGAACGCTCCACTACTCTAGAATAAGCTAGCTCTGTTCGGATGGTGGTATAAATGTCATAGAGGATTAGTCATAAGGCATAAAATGCGGGAGTTCCGTTCACACCTGGCAAAGCCCCTAAAACCAGTTTTTGTGACGTTGTAAGATCTGGTTACCTAGCAACGCAGCTCGGTTTAAACCAGTTATGACATTCATACCCTCGTCTGAACGGAGCCTTAAAAGGCGACATTTCCCTCTTCTGGCTTGTCCTGTAACCATCGTAACATCTTCTGTGGAAGGTGGTCGAGCGCTTTAAATTTTCCTCCCACTTCGTTTCAGTTTAGCGTTTTCCGATTCTCCGTTGAATGAAACTTACGCAGTAAAATGTAAAATTATTTTGGCAAAAAGGTATTCTTGAGTGATTTTATACAGAAAAAAATATAATTAAAATGTTTGTCCTTTTTATTTGTGCATGAATACATTTATAATTTAACATATGTAATGAAAATGGAAAAACAAACCGGAAAGGAAATAACTGAAATAATTGTGATATTACAAATTAAAAAATGTTGCTAATAATTTCAAAAATTAATTTGAAAATTTTATACCAAAATACAGTGTGACGTAGTTCACAAATTGAGCTTAAAATAAATATAAAATATTTTTTTAAATTTTAGTTACAGTCTCAAAAGAGGTGGGGAAAACATTTGCTGTTCGATTTGTAGATATTTGTTATTATGGTAACCTGAGAAAGCAGTAAGGATCGTGAAGCGCCTATTGACAGCTTATAGAACTACCTGATTAAGGGAAGGAGTAACATTTGTAGAAGACATTCTAAGGAAAGCTAGTTTGTATTCTGACAATTATTTCTAAATTTTATAACAAGTAGTTTTGCATTAAATTCTGTTCTATTCTTCTAGACTAGTTACAACATTTGCTCAGACCAGCAATTTTAGACAAACTGAATAACAAAGGGCATAATTTAATAATAGACTTAATTTTTCTGTTTGGTATGGTTAGTTACAGAAGATTCGATTTTGTAGACGTACTAGGATGTATCTGTACTTAATCGAATTCTTAGAATTAGGCAATTCAATTTATAAATTCTGCAACAGAAGAAAAAGATTTAGTTCACATTATCATTTTAGGCTTATAAAAATCATCAGGCACATAAAGTTCTGTTTGATTTTAAATTTCAGTTTTTTTTTCTTTTACTTTAATTGTTGAAAAACGTTTTATTATCATGGTGGTTACCAGTTAGTAATTAAGTCAAGTTTTCAGTTAGATCACACAAGATGGCCACTTTACTTATTAAGAAAACCACAAAATACCTATGGAGCCAGTCTTTCGAGATTTGAGTTCTGGTCGAACTACCGGTGATTAACTTAGTCACTGGTTTAGCATTTTTATACATTAAAAAACATCTGTTGTGATAAATATACTATATTCATCAAAAGCGATTATAAAGGGGGTGTTTACACATTTTTATAATGTTTTTGGGGCCGTTTAATTAAAGTTTAAAATGCTAAGAGTATTTTTTGAAATTGTAGAGACATTAGGTATTTTTGGAATCAGGCAAAATGAAAAATGAGCAAACGCCTTTTTCGGGAATCCAACCACGGACATCTGGAATACCGGCCCAGTGTGCAGACCACCACACCACGAAGGCACGCTAAAAAGCGGGAGAAATACCTTATATAATCCCCTTTTTAAAGGGCGATTGGGGGTCTTTAGGGGGACCCAATCGCCAAATCCTGGTTGTGGAGAATCCTAATCCACTACACTTTTAGTTCGAGCACCCCTCTAGTGACATTAGGTATTTTTGGAAGCAGGCAAGATGAAAAATCAGCAACGCCTTCGCCGGGAATCGAACCGCGGATCTCTCAATTACGCGCTGAGTGTGCTGATCACCAAACCACAAAGAAACGTTAGGAAACTGGGAGAAATACCTTATAAAATATTCGGTTTGATAGCTTTTTTTTTCTAGACTAAAGCCTGCATCGTGATTTCCTTGATAAAATGGATGTTAGTAAAATTTACAGGGGTATTGATTTCTATGCGTGTTCCACTACTTTCCAGAATCTATCAATCGTGGTGGGTTTGCACTTAAAAAGAGCTCTTTTTCAAGACATCGGAGACACAATAGTCCATGGCTGAAACGTTAGGGCACTTCACAAGAATACGTTGAAAAGGTATATATGCTATACTTGTGTATGTCTTCATTTTTTTCAAGAAATGCAATATTTCGAAGTATGACTTGTTGCTTCCTCTTAATAAAGTTTCACTCTCTAAAAGTGATTGGGAATAAGGAATACTATTTTTTCTATAAATAACGGATGTAAAACTTTCTCTTGATAATTGATTTACCATTTTATCACACTCTTCTTATTTTTAATTTTGGACTGTAAGAGAATCCTGCAACAATCAAAACGCCTTACTGAAACCTTTTTCGCTTTGACGGAACCAGGTTCATACATTTTTTCCTCTTCCTTTTCGATAATAAATAGATCTTCATTTATTGCAGTCACTTAGTCATCCATGCCTCATCAAGGGTCACAATGTATCCCCTACTAAATAGTTTTCTTACAAGCTTCTACAAATTGTTCTGCGTTGAGCCACATGCCTCCGCAAAACATGGGGAATGTTATATTTTTTTAGCTTTTTTAAGTTGTAAACATTGGTTTCTCGTTTTACTTATTGTTGCTACAAAAGACTTTGAAACCAATTACTTCTTCCGCGGATTTTCGCTTGTTACCAACGATTTAGTTTTTAGAAAGATACGAAACAGTACATATCTTTTTCGCGTATTCGTTCGGAAACTTTTTCCGTGTAGAAGTAATACTTGACGGTTTTTCCCTTTCCGATTAATAATGTTGCTTATTTTTCACTTAGAAATCTGGAAATCATGTATTTCACAATTTTGTTTGGTTATGGAATATGAATATTTCTCCTCAGAAAGCACAAAAATATATTCTTCAATCGGTAGCTTGTTTATATGCAACATTTTAAAGAAAGAATAAATTTAATAGAGCGGACGATATTTCTCATTTCAAGCAATACATTTTTATTATTATTTTTAATTCCGACATTTCATTCTAAATTAATTTTTGTTCTTGAACATTTGCCTTTTTTAGTTCGCCTGTTAGGTGCTCGAGGCTGTTGCCAACGGCAGGCGTAATCTTGCGCTCCTTGCCAAGAGGAATTTCGTGGGCTTAGGCTGAGTACGTCAGACAAGTGAGCATAAGTAACAACAGCTAATTTAAGTTTGCTTTTCTAACTAATTTTAAATTTTGCTGCGGAACGTGTCTCTTTCGAAAATAGTTCTTGATGTATTTATATCTGTTACAGGTACTATTTATCTTTCACACGTTACGAAACGCATAATAGCATTTCAAAACACTCAGCTTCTTTAAAATTCTCAAAGGAGCTAAAAAATTATTTGCAAAACTTCTTTATTTTCATATTACGATTCTTTCTTAAATCGTACTGTATGAAAAGGTTTTTCAGTTTGTGTTTTGTTTGAATATAATTTGCAAACCATCCCTTCCTTCTTATAATTAGTTATGTTTCAATTACGATATCTGTTCCAGATATGTATCGCCTTTCAACTTTATGTAGTATGGAAAAGGTGTGAACATGATCTTAAAAAATCTATCGATCACATTCTTTAATTTCTTTTTAAAAATGAAAAACAGCATTGATAGGTGAATTCAATATCTTTAAAACT